CCAGGATGGTCTCGATCTCTTGACCTCGTGATCCACCCGCCTCGGCCTCCCAAAGTGCTGGGATTACAGGCTTGAGCCACCGCGCCCGGCCGCCTCTGTGCTTCTTTAAAACAGTGGACATGATGTAAAAATTGAATGTTACCACTTTAGTTGTATCCTGGAGATGGATAATTCATTGATAAGGACTGTCATCTACTTGGATGCTTTCTTCCGGGTCGTGTCACCAAAAACAGATTGGCAGTCTACTCTGTAATTCACAGCATACCTTTATTACTGACAAAGAAAGTTCCAAGTGAAGGTCCCTGTTAGCTGGGGCCATTAACTCCCTCCTTTTGGACTCCTGTACCCTTCCTGCAGGGTCTAGGGCCAGTGGCCATGATGGGAAATGAGCACACATGGCTCAAGAACAGAGTCTGCAATTTGCCCATTGGGACTGAGTCCACCTTGGTGGGAAGTCAGTGGCAATTCGTCCACCCACACACCACTGACCTTGCCTTGTTGGCGACCATCTTGTGTGTTGGCTCTTGACCAGAGAGGCTCTGCAGTCACTCCGTGGGGCTGTTTGACCACAAAATGTGTCAGTGGTTGGTGGTTTTATGCCAAGTTAAGATTCTGATAGAAGGCAGTTAATGTGGTAGTGTAAAAGCTACGTGAACAATCATGGTTCTTGCATTTTAGGGACAAAACAGGATGGATACTCTTTGTAAGTCATGATTTTATTTAATTCTCCAAAAAGTCCATCTCAAGACCTGTAATCCCACAGCTAGCATGTGACCAACACTATATTGAGAGTGGGGTTTGTGCTAATCCAGACTCAGCAAAATCTTGATTAACTGGGGCTCTTTTCATCTCATCCAACATATTTTAGGGATCTCCTATGGGCCAGGCACTGGTCCTGGTGGGGGAAGTTCAGAGATAACGCCTCCCTTCAAAGAGTTTCTAGTTCAATAAAAAGAGCCTCATTTAATCAAAAGTGTTGTGCGTACTGTAATTTTAGGAGAAAATTAATCCCAGGAAATAAACTTCTTAGGAGATATTTTGCTCCAGGAAAAAAAAAAATCCAGTCTTTTAAGGATTTGTTTTTAGGACAATATGCATTAAATCATTCTCCTGAACGTGAATCTTGACACCACTCTCGGGTCAGAAATGTTCAGAGCAATAGTGTTAAGGAACTGCATGGTATTCTATCGCCCAAAACGTTTCAGCTGCATTTACTCCTCATACCAGGATTTTTCCCAGACACTTAAGAAGCATCTTCACTGATGCAGAACAAATAGGAATTTAAACCCACATTTTCATAATTGATTTTAGTACTCTTTTATAATCAGTGTAGGAGCAGACATTTTAAGTTTGTTCATCCCTTCTGTAAATCTTGTAAATAAAGTTGATACTTGCATGTCACTAATTAATTCAATTCCAAGTTGCTGCCTGCGACCTACCGTGCACACAAAGCAGTGGTTGCTGGCAGGTGTGGTCTGACCCTTCTTGTCTTTCATGCCACTTTGTCCCTCAGTCACAACCACCAAGCTCTGCCCACCGCACCTGCCTGCGCCCTGTGTGCTCTGCACAGCCCTGATTCCCTAATCATGCATAGGTTCCTTCTTTTTTCTTTCTCATAGCACCTTTGGGCACTTATCCAAACATAGATTTTCTTTTCTTTTTTCTTTTTTTTTCTGAGTTGGAGTTTCGCTCTTGTTGCCAAGTCTGGAGTGCCATGATCTCGGCTCACTGCAGTCTCCACCTCCCAGGTTCAAGTGTTTCTCCTGCCTCAACCTCCCGAATATCTGGGATTATAGGTGTATACCACCACACCTGGCTAATTTGAATTTTTAGTAGAGATGGGGTTTCTCCATGTTGGTCAGACCGATCCGACCTCAGATGATCTGCCCGCCGTGGCCTCCCAAAGTGCTGGGATTACAGGCGTGAGCCACTGAGCCCTGCCAGCTTTGTATTTTTTTTTTTTTTTTTTTTGTACATACATCTGCCTGCTAACTAGCCCTCCAAGAGCAAAGACTGTGTCTGTTCTCTTCATCCATTTATAAAATGGTCATCATGGTGCCTCACTCATCATCAGCTTTTCCTAAAGGGTAGATAGATGGAAGTTGAAGGGGTAGGTGGGTGGATGGATGAACAGATGGAATCGTTCTTTCACCAGAGAGAGTCTCTAACTTATGATGGTTTGACTGAACAATTTTTTGATTTTATGGTGGTGCAAAAGTGATACACATTCAGTAGAAACCATACTTAAGTGCCGTATTCAACAGATCACATGAGATATTCAACACTGTTATCAAAAAGGCTTTGTGTTAGGTGTTTTTGCCCAACTGTAGGCGAATGTAAGTGTTTTGAGCACATGTAAGGTAGGCTAGGCTAACTAATGATATTCGGTAGGTTAGGTCTATTAAATGCATTTTTGACTTAGGTTTTTTGTTTTTTTTTGTTGTTGTTGTTGTTGTTGTTGTTGTTGTTGTTGTGACAGAGTCTTGCTCTGTTGCCCAGGCTGGAGTGCTGTGACGTGATCTTGGCTCACTGCAACCTCTGCCTCCCAGGTTCAAGCAATTTTCCTGCCTCAGCCTCCCAAGTAGCTGGAATGACAGATGCCTGCCACCATGCCCGGCTAACTGTTGCATTTTTGGTAGAGGCAGGATTTCACCATGTTGGCTAGGATGGTCTCAAACTCCAGACCTCAGGTGATCCACCCACCTCAGCCTCCCATAGTGCTGGGATTACAGGCACGAGCCACCATGCCTGGCCCTGACTTAGTGTATTTTCAACTTAAGATGGGTTTATCAGGATGTAACCCTGTTGTAAGTGGAGGAACATCTGTACTTGAGTATGGGGTACTTTCTAGTACTGGCTGGTTGCAGTGAATCAGGTGTCACCTCTCAAGTCACCTTCTGGCAGGGGAGAGAGACGTATGTACACAGCATGTCAGGTGGGGATGGGCACTACGAGCAAATAGAGCAAATAAAGCAGAGTGAGGCAGGTCGAGAGAAGAAGTGGGGATGTTATTTTGCCTGTGTGTCAGGAAGGGCCTCATGGAGACCACGTGATGTCTGAGCAGAGACCCAAAGGAAGTGGAAGGATGAGCCATATCTAACTCATGGCTAAATTCTCAGTGTTCTGTGTTTTCAGAGTGATTTCTATCTGTGTGTCTATCTGGTCACATCATGCATTTTAGTTTTTGTCACACATCTAAAGCTAAATACACCAGGCTTAGTGGAGGAGGGCCTCTGGGAGGATGGGAATGGGAGCAGCCTTTTTTTTTGTGGAAGGGACAATGCCAAGGCAGGAAAAAGATATTATGGACCACATTTTTTATATCTTCAATTTACTTTTTATTATCTTGAGGAAGTAATAGATCATTTAAAATGTGAATTTTTTTACTTCTCCTCTTGAGTCAATATGAAGTTAATAAGAACAAGATTACTTTGCAAAACATTTTGGACTTGGCAGGTTTAGCCTCATTTGTATGTCATTGATTTCTTTACATTTTTCTCTGCATCTGTTGTAGGATTTTACAGGAGTCATAGAATAACGGGGTCAAATATTTCTC